AAAAAATTTAAAATTACAACTAATTAGTATTTGGGGTGAAAGTAATTAGTCTTTTAAATATGTCATAAATTGATTTTTGTTGTAAATATGCCTGACAAGATTGTTACACTGAATGACATTTTAGTGGGTCTCTTCTGTAAATCAGGGAAAAATGTATGATATTTATTTTTTGCTCAGAAAAACAAAAACAAAATTGCAATTAAATTAAACAGAAAATGTTTACATTTTTGGGGGGGGAAACATCAACAATTTAAAGCAGTATTACACTTAATGTTTTATGCTTAAACCCTTTTTCGTCTTTGACCCACATAGAAACCTCTTTCAGGACACATTTTAAAAATAATAATAAATTGTCCTCTATTAATTAGCCCAGATACCACTAGAAATTACTTTAAGTTTACCAAATGACTCATTAACAAATTAGATTTTCTCCTCCAATAAATAAATAAATAAATCACAGAATGCTAATAATCTTACAAATACAACGAAATGTACAAGTCATATTTTACGTCTCTCTCTCACAAGAAAAATTAAAATAAAATATGCATTTCATATTTTACCTCTCTCTCTAAAAAAAATAAAAATGTAATTAAAATTTATAAAATGTATATATATATATATATATATATAATATGAAATTAAAAATTGGAACCACTTTTAGGACCATTAAGACAAAAAAAAATTACTATAAAATATTTTATTATAATAACAGTTTAATTTTCATTTTGAATTTTAAAAATCTAATTAAGTTAGATTAACTGTTAGATTAACCAGTTAATTGATTAGTTCAAATTCACGAGAAACAAAATGTCTCTATCAACCTTATTCTTTCCAAAAACGTGCAACTACAACCGTTATAATACAAATGATGATATTGTCTGATGGACACTGACCAGAAGTAGAGACCCTTGCAGTAATTATAACCCGGTTCTCTGACCGACAGTGGACTGAACTTTTCACACGCTATAAAAACAGACCGGACGTCATCGAGTTTCCCCATCCTGCGCAGAATGTGCAGAAACTTGGCCATGGCATGAAAGTTGTCTATTAAAAATGGAAACAGAAAAGAAATATTTAAATTCAATAAATAGTGTTTGCCTCAGGGTTATTAAAGTTAACTAAAGCTAAAACCATTTAAAAATTACTTGAAATAAAACACGCAAAAGTTACCTAAAAAACAAAAAAACCGTTAACTTATTTTATTTCAGTAAGTTGCCAAAGCAACTTTTCATATTTTTATTTAGTTTATCTATTGTACTATAATAATTTAAATGAAAACTGAAATTTAAATAATTATAAAAACTAAACATACTAAAAAAAAAAAATGTAAATAAATAAAACTTTAAAATTAAAATGGATAGAAATTACAAAAACCAATTCAAAATGTATATATATTATATATATAAAAACGATATTAGTATCTCAATGATATGTTTGGTGTCATAAACTGATATTCCATTCCACCTGGGTTTTGCTCCATAATAATGGCATAAATCTTGACTGCTTCCTCTTTTTGGTTCTTCCAAAATAATGTATCAGCCAACAGCTGAGGATAAAATCAAACAGACGTATTTAGATGAATTTCTGCAAATAACTGCTGAGCATCTCATTTGGGAAATTCGTACCATCAAGGCAGCGGTGTGGTTTTGGTGGAGCTGCAGGATCTTCAGACAAAGTTCCTCACAGTAATCCAGCTTCTGATGCTCGTAGTATAACTGAGCCAGACGAAAGATGACCTGCACAACACACAGCAGATGTGACAAACCGTTCTCTCTCTTCAAAACATTCACTGAGAGAGTGATTTGAGCTGACTGACCTCCTCGTTGTCCGGGCTGTGATTTAAAGCGTCAGTGTAGTGCTGTTTGGCCTTTTCCAGGTTGCGTCTGAGGTGAAACTCACGAGCCCAATCACAGCAGATCACCACTAACAACTTCCTCTGATCCTCTAATTCTTCCGGATGCTCGTTTGCAGTTCGGAAAACAACTTTTTGCTGGAGATCGTGCAACTGACAGAAGAGCATTTTCATTTGTATGCACATAGAAAAGCCACAAAAAAAAGTCAGGCTGTTTTTAAGCGATTGCATTAAATCCACCTTAGTCTTAGAAAACGACACTAACTTAAAGGAAAAGTTCACCCAAAAATGAACAACTGCAATCAATCAATAAAAAGTCCTCCAAGATTTAGATGAGTTTGTTTCTTCATCAGATTTGGAGAAATGTAGCATTGCATCAGTAGGCGCGTTTCCATTACCCTTCAAATTGCGAATTGAAAATGCGCCTAAAGGAAAATTCGCAATAACGCCCATATATCGCAAAAAAGTTTACGCTCGCACGAGGTGGTTTTCCAGGCAATGCGAAAAAGGAATAATTCGCAAAACTGCAATGGAAACGTCTTTTTCGCATTTACAGGTCACATGGCGTATGTAAAAAGTCATATGATCATTCTTCAATGTACTATAACCTCCAAGAAACACTTCATAAGTGGCAGCGCTCCAGTATAAGGGGCTTTCCCTACTATTAATGCTTAGACAATTTACACTGCACACGTCTGCGGTGCAGTGTGGCTCTGATACGGCCACTGAAGCTGATTGCAGCCACTCAATGCTTGTGTTTATATTTTTATACAGTCTGGTTTACTTCAGCCGCGCGCCATCCGAGATGTAGATGAATTTGTTTCTTCGTCAGGTTTGGAGAAATGTAGCATTGCATCAGTGTCTCTGCAATGGATGCTCTGCAGTGAATGGGTGCCGTCAGAATGAGAGTCCAAACAGCTGATAAAAACATCACAATAATCCACAAGTAATCCACAGCACTCCAGTCCATCAGTTAACATCTGGAGAAGACAAAAGCTGAAACTAATCCAGCATTAAGACGTTTTTAACAACTCAAATATGAATCCATAATAACGCTTCCTCCAGTATAAAAGTGGTCTGGTCTGAATCAGGAGAGAAATCTGCACGAATCAAGCACCGCTTAAACAGTCCAAAACAGCTCTAAACAAATATGTGGCTGTATTTTTATGTGAAAGACAACAGGAGATGCACTTTTTCACAGGAGGAAGCGTTATTATGGATTATGGACTCGTATTTTAGTTAAAAATGTCTTAATGCTGGATTTGTTTCAGCTTTTGTCTTCTCCAGATGTTAACTGCTGGACTGGAGTGCTGTGGATTACTTGTGGATTACTGTGATGTTTTTATCAGCTGTTTGGACTCTCATTCTGACGGCACCCATTCACTGCAGAGCATCCATTGCTCACAAACAAACTCATTTACATCTTGGATGGCCATTTTTGGGCGAACTATTCCTTTAATGTTCAATGTAACTTTAAAAACAAACCCTTTTCATGACGTCCAGGGCAGACTCATTCCTGGCACGTAGTACTTTTACTAACACTCGTAAAACTGTTACTTCACTCATCATGGTAGCCAACGCAGCAGCTGTAAAAGCAGAACAAAAATGACATGCTGAGAACAACAATTCCTGTTTCTCATGGTTCAGATATGTTTGTTTGAATGTCATTCTGTACTAGGTTCACGTTCCAAGGCCTTTTCCAGGACCTGCTGAGCTTTCTCAAATCGTTTCAGTTTAAGCAGCAGTTCGGACAGCTCTACACTCATAAGACAGTCCAGCGTATCCGTCTTCAGAGCCAACTCATAATAGCTCACAGCCTGAAACATAAGCCATTACAGATGAGAAACAAACAGTTCCTTTAACATGTTCAATTAAACTTGTAGAAGCCACTTGCCGTGTCATATTCATGAGCCTTCACTAAAGCCTGGCCTATTTTCTTGGCTAAAGTATCTTTCGGAGCAATTTTCTCTACTTCTCGGTAGATCTTGACTGCTTCCTCTGGCTTTAAGAATAAGATATTTTCATGGTTTAGAAATATATATAGAGAGGTTTGGTACTGAGAAGCCACAAATGTCAAAACATTAAATATATACCTGGTGTATCTTCATGAAGGCATCAGCCAGCAAGATCCTAGTATGAGCTCCTGGAAGCTGCTCACTTATTTCCCTGAAACATTTAAGACAGCAATTAAACTTCCACAACAGCATGCTATAGCCCCCCCAAAAAACAAAAAAACCTATAATAAGTTCTCTTACAGCTTCACTGTACACAGAGTGAATCTTATATTTTACCCATAAATCAAAAGAAATAATAAAATATGATTAATGTAAGTTAATGATAATTTCATATTTTAAAAACATTGTTAAAACCGTTTAATTGATTGATTATTTATTAGACCTAGGCTAACATGAACTAACATTAGTAAATACGTCGGCTGTAAAATGTCTACTGCATACACTAGGGCTGTCAAAATGGCTGAAAAACTAAATTAGAATTTTGTAGTTAAATATTATCAAAATTCGAATTATATTCAAATTTAAAATGCATAATTTCAGTTAGGGTGAAGAAATGCTTTTGGCTTCTCTCCTGAGGCCACAAGAGGGCGCATCAAGCAAAATATTACTAATGCACGTTTATTCAAAGCATAAGATAACATGACTATCTGTGAAAAAAAGTGCATAATGTTTAAAATAATGTTTATAAACCAATTATAATTAAGTTGCAACAAAACAGCATCATGCAGTTTAATAGCCAATCACACAGAGTAAATTTTTCATTTAAAAACACGAGTTGCAGTGAGATGGGGAAAAACCCCACCATAAAGTCTCGAGATATATTTTTTTAAAAGTTGAACTTGCATTAATTTTACATGGCTTTCTAAACATGCGGTTCTTTTGTGCGAGACGCGAGTGCAACGCTGATAGATGTCCCTCTAGAAAATGCGTGAAATATGCGTTCTGTGTGAACGGCTTGGTTTCAGTTCTGACGTAAACAAGATCTTCTCCGCATTGATGTTCTCTTTTCCCGCAATGTTTGTAATTAACAATGCAGCAGCGTAGTGGCTTAAACTGGATAGGCTAACAAAAACATTATAATGCAAGGACACGCACATCGTCATCGCATCTCGTGCGCCACTGATAAGGCTGCCTCCATTAACGCACACATAAAATTTGAATGCAACGTTTTTGCATTCGAATGTGGATTTTTATTTTAAATTCGACGAATATTCAAAAAAAATTTTGACAGCCCTAGCATACAGACACACAATTAATAAATAATTTAAATTAATATACTATATAATATAATAAAGCAAATATTTACATCAGGTTTATTTTCTCTTTTAAAAATACGACTTGGACATGACCTATGACCTGTCACACCGAATGTAAGGAGATTTCTCACCTGTAACATGTGATGTAAAGCTTCTCATTGTGTTTCCTCTCCAAGTATATATGTGCCATCTTCTCTCGGGCTTGGATGTAGGTTGACTCAGTAGGCAGGATGTTTTGCAGCACGACTACAGCGGCGTCCACGTCATCTCTTGCTAAAGCCAGATCCACATTAGCAAGCATGAGACGCGTCTCCTCCGGTGTGCCTTTGAAACGCAGAATGGCGTCCTGCAGAACTCTAGTGGCCTCGTGCTGATGAAAGAGAATGTTTTACAACATACAGCACAAGACAGTAACTCAGTAGATTATGAGGCTAGTTAGTAGTAATGCCCCGAAATGAAAATTCTTGGCCGAAGCCAAACAAAATGAAACACTGGACCAGTTTTTCCCCATATATTTTGCCAATTTTTTTCACCATTGCATAAATTAAATAGCCAAAATGTGCTTTTTACTGTTGTCTAGCTATTCGAAGAAAGAAAAAAAAATCAATTACAAAACAACAATAATTTTAAACTAACAACAACATATTTACTTAACACTGAACATTCTAGCAGACACCACACCAATAAAACACAATTTAACTTAAAATTGACAAGTTAGTAAAATAATATTTCTGGGCCATTTTTCAGACCCCCTTCTTGAATCAGGCATGTATTTTTTACTGTACAAATAAATGCAGCCTTGCTGAGCAGAAGACAATTCTTTTAAAACATTAGAACATATTAGGATCCCAATTTGAAGTGTTGTAATACGTGTATTAATAGAGCTGTTGTAATTATTATTACTGTAAAACTTTTATTTTATTTTAAGAATGCATAAAAATGTTACTGAGCAGCTGACGAGTAACACTGTTTCAGCGCAGATTTTCCTCACGCTTGGATACGCAATATCAATCATCATACAGTAAACCAGCAACAACCACCCTTCCTCTTCTCATCGGAGACATGCGATGCAGTGCTGAACAGTCTCGCTGTCGGTGCTTGTAATGATTTTTGCATCTTTCTCAGACACTTTTAAATGCTTTCACACTGCAGACATGTTTGCTGCATTAGTGCACACCACTATTGGATCACATCACGTACAATTTATTCAGTCGTTTCGCTTATTCTAATTTAATTTCGGTTGCCGAACATTCGATGCATCCCTATTAGTTAGATCAAATGCTTGTTGAATAATTATTGTGCATTCCTTTAAAATGCTACAGGAGAACAAAAGCACATTGGACCTGTTCTCCGTTGAGTCTCAGTGCCTCTGTGAGCTCCAGGTACACAGACACTCGCTCGCTGGGGGAGATGAAGAACTGCGGCCCCTCTGAGGGCCTGCGGACCCTGGGCATGCTCATGGTGATCTTCAGACACTGGATGGCGTTATTCAGGTCTCCAGATCTCAGCAGAGCACGAGCTTTGAGCAGATGGAACCGGAATCGATCTCGAACCTGATAAATCACAGACATGAGCTCAAAACACACACACACACAAAAATATTGAAATATTGTCTAGTTCATTAGTTTGGGGAAATTTATATTTTTATTCAGCAAAGGCTGCATTAAATTGATCAAAAGTTACAGTAAAGACATTTTTAATGTTACAAACGATTTCTATTTCAAATCAATGCTGTTCTTTTGAATTTTCTGTTCATCTGTGAATCCTGAAAAATAAAATGCATCATGGTTGCCACAAAAATATCGAACTGTTTTAAACATAATCAGAAATGTTTCTTGAGCAGCAAATCAGCATATTAGAATGATTTCTGAAGATCATGTGACACTGAAGACTGGAGTAATGATGCTGAAAATACAGCTGCGCATCACAGAAATAAATTACAGTTTAACAAATATTCACATAGAAAACAGCGGTTTTAAATTCTAATAATATTTCACATTTTTACTGTATTTTTGATCAAATAAATGCAGCCTTGGTGAACAGAAGAGTCTTTTTTTTCCTCCAAAACATTTAAAAGCTTTGCTGAACCCAGACTTTTTAACGGTAACTCAAAACTTCCTCCCCAGTGAAAAACAGAAATGACAGAAACTGCAAAAATGGCTTGTTCTAAGCTTCTGCCATTAGACAAACTGTACGTATTTCCCTATCAATGTCTATTAGATGTTCAAAGAGATGATGAAATAAATGATGAGCTTTTGGAACAAAAAACAAAGCTTAAACTAACATTATAAGTACGCTACAGGAAAAATAAATAAATGCAAAAGGTGGGATTTAAAAAAACAAACAAAAAAACTAAATATAACATATACCTCTAATAGAGGCTTTCTGCAAATACTGTGTATTTGACCATTTTTATTTTTTTAAATGCACTCTTTACTGTTCAGACCTCAAAGCTGACGCTGACAGCAGACTCCAGACAGCTCAGACACCTGCTGTGCTCTCCAGCGCTCAGGTGCAGACGGGCCTGCAGGAGGTGTACCTCCGGGACAGACGGACCTTTCTCTATGCACAGGTTCAAAAAGTGCCGGGCTGTCCTGTGCTCACCTGCAGAGGCATTATGGTAGGGCTGCACAATTAATCGAATTTCTAATCGCAACTACAATTATGGATGCCACAATTAAGTAATCGTTCAAAGCGGCAATTAATTGTTCAAAGTCCACTTATGTTATTCTGCACGCTTAAGATATGTTTTTTTTCTTTCTACATGTTATCTTAAGGGTTTTTCCATTGTTTTAGTTTTAGCATAACATTATAGTACCATTCATATTTTTACTTTTTTTTATAATTTATAGAAGAAACCAATCCGATGTATAGTTGACATTTGAGGCTTAATACAATAGAAAAGCACTAAAGGTTTTTCAGTTAGAGTGTTTTCAGCTTGTTTATTTTCATATAAAAATACGGCATGCAGTTGCATGACAAAAATGTATAGTACCGTATTGTCCCGAATATAAGACGACCCTGATTATAAGACGACCCCCCCTTTTTCCAGATGTACCTTTTTTGGAAAAAGGCTTTTTAAAAACCAAATCTTGTTTTTTCTCAGTAAAACACATTTTGTCTTCAATTATTTTCATATTGCATATTTTTCCTATTTTTATTTTTGTTTTGAAAGTATGGTAAAAACTGGTAAAATGTACCAACAATCACATTTAAAAAATATACACTTTTTGATATACCATTAAAAAATAAAATAAAACAGGTAGCCCATCTGAATTAGGACATTTAGGCTATCCATCTAATAGTAGCCTACCAAAATCTTATTAACAGTCGAAGTTAAATCTTACTGTAGTCTTCAAATCTGGGTACTGTCTTACGTTTTAAAATCACAAAGGGAGTTTGGTGCCATCAGGCTAACGTGACAGTCACGACTCATGCAGATGTAAGGTTTGTTTTTACTCGCGATCTTTACAACACGCATTACATTACGTATTTCATGGCACACTCGTTTTATGCGTATTTGGCGCCACCTATTGTTGTGGGTGTATTATTGACATGTCAAAGTCTAGACCCTGAATATAAGACGACCGCGTTTTTTCAGATGTATTTCCAAGAAAAAAACATTGTCTTATATTCGGGTCAATACGGTAATAATTGCAATTACAATTTCAAGGGAATAATCGACAATTATGATTTTTGTCATAATCGTGCAGCCCTACATTATGGGACAGTTATCAGAGTTTCACAGCAATGGTTAACATCAGCTCAGCTCAAGTCTTTAACTCTGAAACTCACCTAGAAGGAACTTGATGTATGCCATATAATAACAGCTCACCGACATGCCAGGAACAGCTTTGATGACTGTTTCCAAGATCATATTTGAGTGTTTCAGCCAAAATGGTGGAGTTTGTCCAGGAACGAGGGCAAAATCCTGGAAAAGGGTAAAAACAATATTAAAAACGGTATCTATCTATCTATCTATCTATCTAGTTGGTGATCACTGTTTATTTTGACACGTTATGAAGTCGGTATTACCTGTTTGGACTCCAGGTGCATGCACACTATTTGCAGAAGGAAATTGAGGTCCAGCATCTGCAGGTATTCCACACCATAATTTAACCCACGAAGAGCAGAGAAATGGAGCTCTGTGGCGTCTTTTAGCAGCTGCATCACCGTCTCCTCACCTGCGCTCTGCTTCCTGCCCAACAGGGCCTTCAGCAGAGGAACTTCCTGTTAAATCAAACACATTTACATCACTAGTACTAAAAACATACAACAGAGGCGTGTGGTTAATTACTACCCATCTAAACATGTAATAAAGACACTCTAATTCCAATACTAAATGGGTGGCAATATGAAGAGTGAGTCAGACAGCAGAAATAGTAATATTTCAGCTTTTTACCGCTGTATTTCCAAGAGACTCTTGCACTTCGCAGAAGAGCGCGAGATGCTGGGCAGCTTCCTCAAGCTGATCGCACATCAGCTGGCATCTAATAGTGCCTATAAAAATATGGTATATGCATATACCATAGGAACGATTGGAGTTCAACAAAGATTTTTGACAAGAAAATGAAGCTTATTTTTAGGACTTTTAAGATTTTTTGCATTGCAACAATATTTTAATAACAATTAAAAACACATTCTATCAAATTCATATTACAGAAAACTCATTCTTATTACTGTAATACCATAAAGTAAACAATACAGACCACTGAACTGTATCTATACAAGTATCCATCTGTTTAGTTGTAAATTATACTCAATATTCATTCTCATATGATATAATAAACTTTCAAATGTTTACTGTAATCAGCACAAATAATTGCAGTAAAGTAAATATTTACAACAGGATCAACAAATATTATCATGACCTTATCATACAGTATTAGACACATCTGGACACAATGCACAATGTTTTAAAATAGTATAATGGCAAATAAATACTTCACAATTCAGATAATGCAAAAAATAATAATGCAACATTGCATTGCAACACTGTTTTTTATTATGATAATTTTTTTTCTTTTGATGTTGGGATGAAAATAGTGTTTTTGTACAGTGATGATATTGTTGCTGCTTGGATGTGATGATACTGTACCTACTAATGCGGAGGTGCACTTGGGCTCTGTTTTCAGTGCTGTAGAGTAGCATTTATGGGCGTCCTTATACTTGCTTTGGTGATTGAGCAGATAGCCGAGCTCACAGATGACATCAGACGCCACTGGCGTGCGTGAAGACACTCGACGCACAAACACCGTCAACATCTGCAGGATCTCTGGGTTGTGTCCACACTGCAGTTGGGAAAAATTGTTTGGAGCATTTCAGTGACTTGTGCTTTAGACAGACTACTGTTATAATCAGGCAGGATAGATTAGTCTTCCAAAACAGAAATTAATAGCTCAGGAACGTCCCAAGGGCAAGAAGTATCATAGAAACAGACACTTAGGGATACAAACACTCCCAGTGCGGACAGTGTGTGTTCAGTCTTCGTAAACAAGCCTGATCTATCTAACCTATTAAATGACACAGAAATAAATGTATAAACTGCGGTAAAAGTGTATAAGAGGATGTTTAGAGTGATTGGCACCAGTCGGCTGATGGCTGCTGTGATCTCCACATGCAGGCTGGGATTGCAGGGCTCAGAGATCTCAACCGCACTCATTAAAGCCTGAAGACGCACTTTCACCTGAAACACAGAATGGAATAACATTCGTGGGTCAATGACAAAACAGAATGTGTGAGATGAAAAAAAAAAAGGGAAAAAAATGTTAACTGTTATAATTTAAAACGTGCCAATATTTGTATTGTATTAATGTTGATTTTAAACATTTTTGAAAAATCTTTTAAATTCGCTTTAAAAAATGTTTTGTTTTTTTTGGATGTTGCAAATAAATCAGATTATAGGAACACGTTTTACAAGAAAACACCATTTCAGTCTTTATAATTTTAGGTATCCATTTATTTGTGATTATTTGTGAAATTGTTTCTAAGTAAACCCTATTTACTTTATATTTTTTCAGTGTTCCATTTCAACATTTTAAAACATTTTTAAAAAGTAAAAATAAAAGTAAAAGTTATTAAAATATAGTGAATATTATATTTCCCCAAGAATTTCAGTCTTTTAATGACAGTTTTTGAGTTTTGAACTCTACAAAAAATATCAAAACAACATTGCATCAAAAATGTTAATTAAAAACAAATCTTAGAAAAGGCATATTTAATTTTCAAGTGTTGATTAAACTTCAAATCAGTGTTATTTTAGTATAATTGAGATGCCATTATATTTTTATTTTGAATCAGTGTTTAGATTTTCAATTTTTTGCATTTTTGTATGCATGTATTTTTGTCAGTCGTTACTTTTTATTGTCTATATAGTTTTTATTATTTTGGTTATTTTAGTACATCATGTTAAACTAAATTAAAACGACAAATGTCACATCAGCTTTCCTAGTGCTATAATGATTTCAATCGGTCTTAAAAATGCAGGCAATATGCGTTTAAATAAAAAGCAACAGAATTACCAGCTCCATATTTCCATCCTTAGCCGCAGCGATGACGGTCATCATTTGAAGAGCTTTCAGATCACGTCCGTCTCTCTCCAGAACTCTGCAGATTTCAAGCAGAAACACTGAAGAACATCTAAACCTCTCTATTAAATGATAAGCTGAGAGTAGCACACACCTCTGTGCGACCGCCTCCGTTTGCTCCCAGTCACGCAGAGACACGAACACCTTCATCTTCATGAGGAGCGCCGGGCTGAAGTCTGGATGAGAGACGATGATCTGGTTGGCGATGTCAAGAGCGCACAGCTCGTTCTGCTTCGCCATGAAGAACTCCATCTGCACGTCAAAGAAACAGCTTAGTCCCTGTACCATTATTCAAAAGAGTTCATCGGTATGTTTCTCAACACGTTTTACTTTTCCCATGAGTCCAAATAAATTCCCAGCATCCTGAACACCGCTGTCAAAGTAGCGTATAGCCTGAGGTCTGTTCTCTTCCGTGTCAGAGGTCAACGCAATCCAGCCCTTCAGAATAAGCCCCTGGTAATAAAGACAAACAATTCATCAACCAGCCTGAATGCAATATTTCCAACTACACTGGCATTTAAGCCTTTAAAATCGGACATATTAACATAATATTACAAAATATAATAAATGGAACGGGTCATTTAACCTTTCGATGAAATGTATTAAAATAACGTTATTTTTATTCAATTATTTTTCATTATTAGTGCCATTTAACAGTGTAAACCTGACATATGAAAGTCAAATGATTTTTTTCTCATAAATCTTTATTTAGCTTTTGTACATTAAAAAAACGTGTTTTTTTGTTATTGAGTATCATATTTGATCCATCAGGCTTTTATATGTTATCATATCTAGAATATGGAAGAAAAACAGCTCGGTTTTATTCAGAGACCCGAACAGCGCAAAAATATGTAATTTGCTGCAAATGCTGATGTTTATATGATGAAATTCTGATAGCTTGTGATGTAAGTCGGTGAGATATTTATAACAGTGTAGCGGATACTCACATAAAATGATCTAAATATCAGTTTTCACTCTATATCTCCAATAATGTGTCTTAATAAGATGAGATTGAAATGCTCCAAACATATAATGCAATGCAATGCTGATTGAGAGCTGAAGAAATAAAGGCTCCTCAGAAGATGTGAGATGTTCTGGAGGCTTGTGAAGATCATTCCTCCGCTGAGGAACAGTGAAAGTAAAGCTTCTGGAAACAAACGCTCCTCAAAAGATCCTGAGGATCAGATTTGAGATTTTTCTAGAAAATGATTGATGGAGAATCAAGTAAAGCCGAGCTGCTTCAGTCCAGGAATACTTACTACAGTTATTCTGACGTTTACTTTATAGAAATCAGATTTGACAGCAAAAAAAACAAAATAAAAACACATCTCTTCCATCTTTATTTGACCCTCTAACTCTAGCACTCTCTATTCTAATTCTATTCTTTAAAAAAAAAAAAAACTTGCCCCTTTTAGACTTGCACTCTATTCCTTTACTAACTAACACTAGCTTCTCTATTCTTTGTTTTCTTTTTATTTATTATACAATTATAAAATGTTTTCTTTTTATTTATTATACAATTAACAAAAAGCAAAAAAGCCTCTAACACTAGCTTGCTATTTTCTTTTTTATTCTATCTGTTTTCCTTTTATTTATTTATTATATAATTTAAAAAAAAACTTGCTACGTTTTTAAGCTGAGACTTGTCATAGCTCTTTTGTTGATTTTGATTGCTTCCATTGTCCTCATTTGTAAGTTGCTTTGGATAAAAGCGTCTGCTAAATGTAAATGTAAAAAGACACGCAAAGCACCAGCTGAAGCTGGACATTTGTACAATTACACTAAAAGACGTTTTACTCGATAAAAACTCTAAACTACCAATCAGACGACAGAAAGGTCTTTAATGACATTTTAATATCCAGTGATTCTGGTAATACTATGGTCTTAGTGCTTTTAGATCTCAGTTCAGCATTTGATTTTGTTGACCATGATATTCTGCCGTCTCGCTTGGAGCACTGCATTGGTATTAGAGGTACTGTACTTGACTGGTTTCGGTCCTTTTTGTCTAACAGAAGATTTTCAGTCAGTATTGGGCAATATTCATCTTCTGTAGCATATTCTTCATGTGGTGTTCCTCAAGGATCAACTTTAGCACCATTATTGTTCTCGCTGTATATGTTACCCATTGGTTCAATCTTTAGGAGATTCGATGTGTCATATCACTGCTATGCCGATGATACCCAGCTTTACATACCACTTAAGCGCAATGACAAGTCTGCATTATACCAACTAACAGCCTGTCTCCAAGAATTGAAAACATGGCTTACCAAGAAGGAGGGTTGGGTTACTGTAAGCCCCATCAGAACTGGGTTGCGGTGCAGGGGGACGGGACTAACGACAGATCATTGCAGGGTAAGTAGTGTAGCCTATCTGTGCTACCCGCTCAGTGCTACCTCCGGTAGTCCGTCTGTTTATTAGTCATATACATCTTCAGATCAGGTTTTTTAACTTATTAGAGGTACAGAACGCCACAGCATCTTTTCGGCATTGCACCAAGCAAAAATCAATCGAAATCATCACAAAAAGTAAAGATCAAGCGCCTAACAAGGTCTCCGCTCGTTAATTCGAATGGCTTGTTTTCCCCCATGGCATAAACGGTTATGACGTATTTGTGGGCGTTCCCAGCAATGCCAAACAAGTCAATAGCACTTGCATATCATTGCTCTTTTGTTGATTTTGATTGCTTCCATTGTCCTCATTTGTAAGTTGCTTTGGATAAAAGCATCTGCTAAATGTCTAAATGTAAATGTAAAAAGACACGCAAAGCACCAGCTGAAGCTGGACATTTGTACAATTACACTAAAAGACCGTTTACTTGATAAAAACTCTAAACTACCAATCAGACGACAGAAAGCATGGAGTAGATTGAGTGTGTTTTGATCATGTTGATCATTTAGATCAGTGGTCGCCAACCCGTCGATCGCGATATCTTTATCACTGTCCCAGTAGATCTCGAAAAAAACAGTAAAATAAGTACAAAAATGCATTACATTT